GACTTGAGTGAGGGTCTCCCCGGAGTGGAGGTCTTCAAAACCAAAATTCCAAACTTGTCACTACACACGTGCAGAAAGCATGTGTTAATTTCACATTTGTCTCTTATTAATCTTTTACCTGCTTGCTGGACCTCAGCTGAGGAACTCATGACAGAGGATTTTTTCCTTCTTCCACAGTACACACACCAGAACATGCATACCATTTTCCTGCTCCAGAGCCTGTCAGGCCCACACATCTGTATTCCTGTGCAACTGTCCCTGTACTGGGAGAATCACCTTCCCTCAGTTTCTAGTCACTAAAGCAAAGGTTCTCAACCTTCCTAATACTGTGACCCTTTAATATGGTTCTTCATGCTGTGGTTGGACCCAAACCACAAATTCTTCCATTGCTACTTCATAACTGTAATTTTGCTACTGTTATGAGTTGTAAATATCTGATATGTGACCCCTGTGAAAGGGTTGTTTGGTTTCCAAAAGGGATCATGACCCACAGGTTGAAAATGGATGCACTAGATAGAATCTAGTGTTACTTCTTGCTCCAGGGGAGCTATAAGGGTGAATGCATTTACAATGTCTGTCAATAAGGTTTTTAAATCACATGCTTGAGGCAGCATGATGTGGGGCCCACTTTTACAGTTGCTTTTTGGTTAAAGGACAAAGAATTCCCTGCTCTAAAAAGCCTTAGTGAATAAGCCAAAATTTACCTGTTTGGGGCAGCCTAAGGTTACTGATTATTGTCAGGGGAAACTGCAGTTAGCAGTCATCTTCACACTAGACAGAAAAGGATAGGTTGAGGGTGGCAACTGCCCCCCTGAAACCTCCAAAAAGAAGGACCTGGTGAACCACTGAATGTCAGATGATATGAACAAGGCTGGTTTGAGCAGGCTGGGTACAATGGTACACACCTGTAGTTCCAACAATCCAGAGGCAGAAGTAGGTGGATTTCTGAGTTTGAGATCAGCCTGGTCTACATAGTGAGTTCTAGGCCAGTTAGGATCCTGTCTCAAAAAGAAAGAAGGGGAGTGAAGGTGGGGTGGGGAGGAGCACAAACCTGGGTGATCATCCAAAGAGAAGATTCATGGTCTGGTGAGGTTATGAATACTGCCTTTGCAGAAGGAAGACCAGCCTCAGTGGACCATGCTTCCAGATAAAGCTGCAATGATACACTCACTCTATTCTACATGTGTTCAATTCTCATGTTAGGTTCCCCTTGAACCTAACATGGTAGAATCCACTAGAAACTGTTCTGTGTGTCTTTCAAGGATTGTTGGCAAATATATATGTATCTGTCTCTCCCACCTGCAGGGAGACCCACCTTTGGAACTCTGAATACAGGATTTCAGCCCACATCCTAGGTAAGCATGCTAGATCCAAGACAAAAAAACATCTCTAGAGGTTATTTAATTGCTCCATCTTCAAACTGGCAGGCCATTGTGTAGCGTAGACTCTGCACCCCCACCCCCACCCCCACCCCCAATGTGTCCTATTTAACACCTATCCCATAGAAACAAAGATGTTGCTATTGTTAAGTTGTTATGGGTACCAGGCTACACAGTAGCCTATGCATAGTCTGGATGTTGGCTCCATTCCCTACTGCTGACATTCCTCTACCCTGGTTGCAGGCTCCTGGCTGGGTAATGAGCATGCAACCCCGTTCCATTAAGACTGTCCTGAGGGGGGTCTGTTTCTCTCCCCTCCCTCTCACACAGGCCATCTTGCTCACTTCTCTTTCCCAGTTCCTAGAAGCACACCCTGCCATAGTAACTGACTTGTCCAGTCAGCACTTCCTAACTGAGCCAGATGCAGTGGCCCATGACTGTAATCCCTAGAAAGGCTGCAGGAGGACTTCTGTACATTTTGACCTGGACTACCCAGCCAATGCTACATAACAAGACACCTTCTAGAAAATAAAATTCTGTTACCGGGAGCAATGTTTAACACCTAGAATCCAATACTTGGAAGGCTGAGGCAAGATTACCATGAGTTCAAGACCAGCTTGGGCTATACAGTAAGTACCATGCTCCAGCTAGAGCTGTACCATGCTCCAGCTAGAGCTATATGACAAGATCCTGTATCAAAACAAAACAAAGTACCTGTTAACAGGCATGGTAGTACACACCTATAACACAATACTTGAGAAGTTTCGGGGAGAAGACAGTTCAAGGACAGCATGAACTATATGGCGAGGGTGAGGTTAGGCCATAGAGATGAATCCCTATCTTAAATGAATTTCAAAGATAACAATCCTCACAGGAAGCTCTAGTGGCTGGGGCTAGGGCAGAGATAAGAAAGACCATAAGTATGTGACAGAGCACTGAGGACTAGCAGGTAGTCTTGAACGCTGGCTATGCTACTGCCTGAGGCAAAGCTGCAGGTGCAGTCAGCCCCACTGAGCCCAGGGGCAGATGCTTCCTGAGCTCCCTCAGACCCTGGCACCAAGCACTTCTCTCAACTGAGCTACTTGAGGTTACTGCGTTCTCTCGCTATAGTCTGTCTCACCCTTGGCTATTCTGGGACTTCTGAGGTTTTTTTTTTTTTTTTTTTTTTTTTTTTTTTTTTGGTTTTTCGAGACAGGGTTTCTCTGTGTAACCCTGGCTGTCCTAGAACTCACTCTGTAGACCAGGCTGGCTTCGAACTCAGAAATCCGCCTGCCTCTGCCTCCTAAATGCTGAGATTACAGGTGCCCGCCACCACCACCCGGCTAGACGTCTGAGCTTTCATTAACTATTCACTTCCCACCTAAGTACAACACGGGTTTATTAGGATGTAGCTTTAGTCTACCCAGGGGACAGTCTGTGGCTACGGCTGTAGCTTCTAAATCCAACTGTTAATTTCTACACTGCGGGTTTCTTTACTCCACAGGCCTCTCCTTTCTCAGAGAATATCCCACTTCAGAAAGAAAGGGAACTCAAATTAAATCCAATTGGTCCAAAGTGGATAATCACTATGGGTTGCTTTCAAAAGAGGCCTAAGATCTAACCTGCCATAAACAGGACAGTGAAATGATAGGGCCCATCCAAACCTTGACCCTTCCATGCAGGAAGAGGGAAGGAGAACCACCTTAAAGAATTATAAAAATTCCAAGTTTTCTCCTCCAGGCTTTTCAAACATTCATCTTGATCAAAAAATTGTTCCCAAGATGCTCAGAGTTCCTTAGAGAATGGTTTTCAAGTTCGGAGGCACTTATTCCAGAATCTGGCAGTCATTGTTTGCTTGTGATTCTTCCTTTCTGAGGAGGAGACTCCTCACATCTGCTCAGCCACCTGCTCCAGGCTCCCAGAGCATGCCCACCACTGTCAGGGAATCCAAGAGGCAGTAGTAACAGAGGCCATCATGGACCAAGCAGATCCTGGCATTGGGATGCATAATTAGCCTAGTTCTTGTGTGAACTCCATGGAGAAATGCATCCTCATTATGGTTATCATCAGATCACAAAAGTAGAGAATAGAGATTAGGGGACATTTCTGCCTGCGGTGCAGGCCTGACTCTAGAACCCACACTTTTAACCTCTAATGACATCACTCACTAATCACTCACTAATGGGCCTTCATCTCATCCTGCTCTGCCCCACTGATCCGTGCAGGGATCAGTCACACAGATCTTTGCACCTCTCTGCTTCAAATCCTTTTCATTAAATCCAATCCTGAGAGCCTGGGCTTCTCCCTTCCTGGAGCCCACTCAGTTCATAGGACAGAGGATGAAGTGCTGAGTCACACTGTTCACTGCTTTATTGAAATTCAGGGAGATCCTTCCCCCAAGAGACACCACCGTGTGAAAGGGACACTGCCTCCCGCCCCATCAGTCCATCTGTTCCATGCCTTCATTTGGTCAGGATGTGCACCCACTAATCCATTGGAAACAGCCTCCAATCTGTCCCCATTTCTTTTTCCCTTAGTTCTAAAAGATTATAATAATGATAATAAAGAAAAGAAAACAAAGACGTAGAAGTTCTGAGAGATGATTGTACAGACCAAAGGTGGTACACATGAGAACAAAGAATAGAGGGAACACTTCTGGGTAAACCTAGCACCAAGGAGAGGGTAGGGATGACTCAGAAAACATGTACTGGGAAAAGCCTGATTAGCTATGTGCATGTTGGGTGTACATGGCTCTACTGGAAGAAGACAGAACATCAGCTAGGTGGACAACTGTAATCCCAATACTCAGAAGGCTAAGACAGGAAGCCTGCCATGATGCCAGTCAGGGCAACACACACACACACACACACACACCACATAATGATATTAAGATGCAAAGAAAAAATACACAGTGCACGGAGGCACACAAGCAAAACAGACAGACATGACGTGTGTACATGAGGAAGACAGCGTAGTATGCTCAACACATTATACACACCTACCCAAGCACACCACAGCACACACCCACAACTACTCTGCAGTCACAAGTGCAGCGAATCCAGACAGTACAAGTGATGGCAGCATGAAGCAGCACTCAGAAAAGAATACACTTGCACAGGAACCACATCCAGCTGCCTAGGAGAGGGGAGGATGTGTGGTGCGTGCGTGCATGCGTGCGTGTGTGTGTGTGTGTGTGTGTGTGTGTGTGTGTGTAGAATGAATCCTCTGGAAGAAGCAACATTTAAGGAAAAAAGGAAGACATGGGGATATGTAGAAGGAGAGGATGATGAAAGGAGATTCTGATGCTGAGAAATGAAGAGAGAAAACCCTGCTAACGTAGGAAGACCCCTACTGCTGAAACGGCAGGAGATGCTGTGGTAACTATACAAGTCAGGCAGGCTATGGGAGAAAAATACCCCTCTGGAGTCATGAGTGAATAGCTACAAGCAGGGTTCAAACAAAACTGTGAAGTAGTGATATAAAATTATACGGAAAGAAAGAAAACAGTCTGTTCCCTAGAACACTGGAGACCCAAACAACCCCAGATGCACAGACATGTATTTATAAGAGGGGGATTGGATCGTGTTCTCCAGGTTGGAGACAGAAGTCCTTACCCTCCTCCCAGTCTCCCACCCTCTTCCCACACCCTTCCCTCCCCTACTGGCCTTATCCTTCTTGATACCCCCTCACTTGTAAAGCAAATGCACTCGACTCCCATCACAGCTAAGACGGTCAGGGGGCTCTGAGGGTCCCCTGGGAAGGCCCCCAGAGGGGTCTGGGGGTGTCGGGGGGTGGCGCCGTGAGCGGAGCTGCTGCCGAGACTGGAGCTGATGGCGCAGCTCAGAGACACGCTCCTCTTTCTGGAGGAAGAAACACAATTGGGAGTGTGGGAGGAAGGTGGTGTGAAATGGGAGGAGGGGAGGGGGGGGAGAGACATTGAAACAAGAAGTACAGAGTAAGAAAGGAAATTAAAATGTGAATTGAGGGAAGAACAAAGGAAGCCACAGTATGTAACAGCACGGAGAGAGAGAACGGATGAAGAGAAATAAATGATTTTAAAAAGAGAGAGAGAGATTAAATTAACATTTCCTCAGACAAATTGAAAGCCCTACCCCACACCCCCAGCACCGCACGCTCCCTAACTACAGCCTGGACACAGTAACACTGGGGGCAACAGAATGGCTCACTACAGCCTCCCCCTAACTACTGCCAGTGACTGCTCTTTTGCCTCAGGAGGGCTGTAGTCTCCAGAGTGTCCTCCCTCTCCTCAGGCTAACACGACTAAAACTCAACCCTTCCCCTTTCCCTCTCCTGTTCCTCTGCGACTTTATGAGACCCTCTGTAAATCACCAACACTTGAATCCGTACTAAGGCTCAACTACAGACAACCCACCCTTAGACACAGGACCCTGGCTGTCACCACACACCTCGGCGATGATCTTTTCCAATTCACGGTTTTCTTTCTCCAACAGTCGGGACTTCTCTTCCTCGTTGTTGTTGGTGGATGATCCTGTTTTCATGGTGTCCTGCGCTTCAGACTGCCATTCCCCTCGGGTGATCAACCTACGCATCTGGGGACAAAGGTTTGGGCATGGGGTGGCGTTGGGCTGTGTGAGTGAGCAGCTGGTAAAGAGGGGTAATGAAAAACTGAAAGACAGGCAAAATAAGGATAGGGTCGAAGCCCTGCTTCCATCTAGGGAGCACACGGGGAGAGCTAGACCTCACCTTGGGCACAAAGAGCACAACCAGAGTAATGTAGGAAGAGAACACAATGGCCAGAGAGGCAAAGGCGAAGGCTGCATCCTGCTGGCTGGAAAGGATCATGGTCACAGGAGCGGTGATGAGACACAGGACCTGGGAAGACAGCGTTTGGGAGACTCAGAGCTATGCATAGTTCAAGTAAGATGCAGGGTGTCCTTCCCCATAAGAGTCAGTAAAGACAGACTTGTGATGAACACTCCACAAATCCTCGACTTTATCTCTTTTAAACTAGAGTTTATTTATTTTATTTATATGGGTATGTTGTAAACTGTCTTCAGACACACCAGAAGAGAGCATCGGATCCCATTACAGATGGTTGTGCGCCACCATGTGTTTGCTGGGAATTGAACTCAGGACCTCTGGAGGAGCAGTTAGTGCTCTTAACCGCTGAGCCATTTCTCCAGCCCAATCCTCAACTTTATTTTATTTATTTATTTTTTATTGGTTTGTGTTAATTATACATAATGGATTCCATCATGACATCTTTGATCATGTACATAATGTATTTTGACCATATTTACCTCCTATTATGCTCTTTTTTTTTTTTAAGATTTATTTATTTTATTTATAAGTACACTGTAGCTGTCTTCAGACACACCAGAAGAGGGCATCGGATCCCATTACAGATGGTTGTGAGCCACCATGTGGTTGCTGGGATTTGAACTCAGGACCTCTGGAAGAGCAGTCAGTGCTCTTAACCACTGAGCCATCTCTCCAGCCCCCAGTCCTCAACTTTAAATAGCTAAAACTCAGAAATAAACTACCAAACCAGTTCTCAGCTCTAGATCAATGCTTCCCTCAGGATCTCTGCATTCAGACTGTTCTTCAGACGACTTCGCTAGGTTATCGCAAAATGTTATAAGGTAGTGTGCTTTTCTTAAAGCTTTTTTTTTTCCTTATCTCTTATATATGTGTGTACCCATGCATGGGAGTGAACGTGTATACAAAGGCTAGAGGAAAACCTCAGCTTTAATTTCTTCTCCATTTCGGTTTTTCATACAGGGCCCCTCACTGGCTGGAAGGTGCCTGGTCACTGAGAGCCAAGGATCTACATACATGTCTGCATCTTATCAGAGCTGGTATTACACCACATATCATTACACCTAGTTTTACTGATGTGGGTTCTAAAGTTGTCTTGTAAGCATCAGAATCTAACATCTAACACCCCAGCCTTCCTTCCAGCCCCTGAGTCTAGTGTGCTTTTTATGTCCTCTGAATTCAAACATTCCTACTCCAAAGAAAGAGGGAGACATGTGAAAGCCACTCAATTACAAGATTCAGGAAGCCCAACCCTGAAGTTATATAAGCAGTAACCAATTCCTGGTGAAAGAGAATGGTCTCCCATGGAATTGCCTACAAGTTGGACAGGGGACTCTAGGAATGCAGTTACTGTGAGTTAGCTGTAGTGGACATTTTAGATATCATAAATGCCATTAAGACGCCTGTACTCCTGTAGTAAGTAACCCCAACAGACGCATAGGTTCACCAAGTGTGATGGTTAGCTTTGTCAGTTTGACAGTCTAAATTCTAGACTCAGGCGATTATCAATGAGGTTTGGTATATGAGCATATGGGGTAGGGAGATTATCTTGATTTCTACTGTTAAGTGATGTGGGAAGACTCAATCACTGTAAAGGGCACCAATCCCTAAGCATAGGATTCAGGGTTGAGCTGAGTAAGGGTGAATGCTATTACGTCTCTTTGGTCTTAATTCTGGATGACCAGCTACTTCAAGGTCCTGTGCTGACTTCCCTCAGTGATGGACTATAACCTGGAATTGTGAGCTGAAATAAGCCCTTTCTCGTCAAAGTTGTTTTGTGTCAGAGTGTTTTATCACAACAGCAGAAATGGAAACAGGACACTAAGCTAGATGTTGGTAGAATCGTTTCTATTGTGATACCCTATCTAGGGTGAATTGACATTTGCTCATATCTTCCTCGGTAAAAGTCATAAAAAAAAATGACTTTATAAATCAGATATTAGCCAGTGTTTTATGACTCCTATACAAATGAGTAAAAGTCATAAAAAATGACTTTATAAATCAGACATTAGCCAGTGTTTTATGACTCCTATACAAATGATCTCAAATCTAGTTTTCTGAGTCTTCTAGTTCTTTTCACTGTGCCGTGGTCCATTTCCATGGCCAACGCCAGGTGTCAAGTAAGCTTACCGCAACATTGTAGATAGCCATGCCCACAGCCCTGTGGTCATTGATCTTTTCAGTGGACACACTTTTGGTCTCATAAGCAAGAAAGATTCCCAGCAGCAGCAGCAGCCCCTTGTAACCATAGAAAATGCCTAGGAGAGCAGCAAAGGGTCACAGGGGCAACTAGGACTGCCATACTCCCAACTCAATCCTCTTCCTCTCTTTCCTCTCTTTGCCCTTTATTTACTACTGATCTTTGTAGCTCCTCTGTGTAAGTAAAGCCCCACCCCCTTTCCATTCCAGCCCCTCTGTGGCTTTCTGTGGAGCAGCTAGGAAGGACCCAATGGATGCTACCCAGTGTTTCAACCCATCTCCTCCAGGCAGCAATGCACAGCACAGGCTAAGGGTTTTAGTTCACCAGGTGGATTAGTAGATTGGATGAATGTTGGTCAGGCTGAAGGGAGGCTAAGCCCACGACCTCACAACCTTGGTCACTTACTTTCAGGAGCTGCCCAGATACAGATGGGTGAGTCCACCCACCCACCCTGACCCTCTGCTGAACACCATTACTCACAGCAAAAGACCAAAGCTCTCCTATTCTTGGAAAAGTTTAGTGTAGTGATAAGGGCACCAAAGCTGTCTCCTCTGAATGGTCCTTCTCCCCTGGCCCATTGCTGTTACCCTTTTCTCCTGCTTATGCTTCCTCCCTCCCCTCCTCCCACCCACATCTCACACACCAAGCCATGTATTCATCTTCTTGGAACTGCAGTGCTCCAGCTGGGGCAGAATGGAGACATCAATGTCTTCCTTTGGTTCTTCCTTGGCAAAAGTCTAAGGGGAAAAAAAGGAACAGGATGAGTGACTGTATTTCTTTTTTTTTTTTTTTTTTTTTGGTTTTTCGAGACAGGGTTTCTCTGTATAGCCCTGGCTGTCCTGGAACTCACTCTGTAGACCAGGCTGGCCTCGAACTCAGAAATCCGCCTGCCTCTGCCTCCCAAGTGCTGGGATTAAAGGCGTGCGCCACCACCGCCCGGCGTGACTGTATTTCTTATCCAGCTCCTGAACCTCTGCCTCTGTCTTTCCTATGAGACTCATTACTGTCACAGATCCTACTCCAGACCCGGGGACATTCTCCTGAACACACTAGAAGGGCTTGCTCCCCCTTCTCCCCAAAGCTCGGAAACCCTACACATCCTCCCAGATCCTACTTCCCTTATTTAGATAAACCTAGAAGCTTCTGATAAAGTTTCATCTGGCAAAGACAGAAGCACCTCTAATATACAAAAGATGGAAAAGTTCTTTCCCTGAGTAGCTCCCTTTTCTTTTTAAAGGTGACGTCTCACTATGTAGCCCTGGCTGGCCTGGAACTCACCATGTAGACCAAACTAGCCTCAAATTAACACAACTCTGTCTGCCCCTGCCACATGAGTTTTGGGATTAAAGGTATGTGCCACTACACATTTCCTTCAGGACCACACACAGCCCTGGAGATGCTAAGCTGGTGAACTCTATCTACCCAGTTTCCTGACCCCAGCAACTCCTCAAGTGATAGATACCTCAATGGTTCGGTGCAAGGGGTCCACAATCTGCCAGATGGCAAGAGTCAGGACATCCATGCCCACCAGCAGGCCGACAGTGGCATACAGTTTCCAGGGCTCTAGGGTCTGAGAAGACAGCCAGAGAAGACAGGTCAGAAGGCGGTCTTCTCTATGCCCAGGATCAAAGGCTGCATCTGGGAAGTAGCTCACCTTCCTCCATTCCTTCTTCTCCTCCTTCTTTGTGAAGACTGTGTGGACCCACCAGATCTTGGTGAACATAGAGCCATAGCCCAGACTAAAACCTAAGCCCAAGAGCCAAAGGCGGGCCTAGAAGGGAAGAAAAGACACTGGAAATAGGTTGGACTGTGGCCATGGTGCATGGAACTACAGGAGGCAACGGGAATAATGACCAGATGGCAAAAAGCAAGCAGGATATAGCAAGCAGAGAAAGGAGGGGAGGAAAGCGACAGGGAGGAGAGGAGAGGGTCTGCATTCACCCATTCCTCCCATCAGTCTTTACTACTGCTACAGCACCAGGGTATTCTTGGTAAACCCTTACTGACCTTTTGTAACACCTACAGTTGCCACCTGCACACCTCTGAATGTGACATAGCATGGTCCATCACCTCCCAGGCCCTCGCTGACCCTGCGCTCACCCACCCTGCTATGCTGAACTACTCACTCTCCCTTACCTACTCTCTTCCAGATCCCATGCATCCTTCAATGCACAAAAGCCCTGAGGCCCACTCAAACATGGACAGTGATCCACTTCCCTTCTCTGTCTCCACAGCACTTTCTACAGTCACAACACAGCTAGCTCTCTTATCTCTCCTGCTGTATGCAGATCCCACTAGGAACAGACACTTCCTGAAGAGGTGAATGCATGTATGTGTGCACATGCTGTGTGCATGGGGCATGATCAGGACAGAAACACAGTGAAGAGAAGGAGTAAGTGGGAAGAACCATGGAAAGGGTGGATGCTTCATATAGGAGAGAAACATTCAAACATCACTGAAGCCAGCCTTTCCTCATTGTCCCTGAAGATCTATGAGCCCAATCCCAAAAGCCTCTTCCCTCTGTGATGTTATGTCCCTTGCCCAAATTCTATCCTCTTAGATTCTGCCTTCAACATTTCAAACTCCAACCAAGGCTCCCACGGGAAAGCCCACAGTTTTGTTTCTCAGCCCACACACCACAGACAAGCCACCATTGTTCACAGGTTCTGTGTGCAGACCCCTTCCTTTGTCTTCAGTACATCACCCCTCTCCTCTCCAAGGCATGCCTAGCAACCTTGCAAACAACCAGGGAACTGTAGAATGGAATAGGTCTGGCACCCAGAAAGAAGAGCCAGAGCCAAAGAGAGACCAGAGGGTGATACTAGGAAGCAGGAAAGGAGACACCAGTAAGGGGAAGAGGAGAGACAGGGAGGCTGCTCCTGTGAGGGCTAGGAAAGCCATATTCTGCAAGGTCTATATTGGCCCACCATCTGCTTACCTGACAGACAAATGGGAACTGGCCTCTCCCTATGTGGTAACCATCCAGTCCAAGGGGGAAGACAGCAGCTAGTGCCAGTGAACAGCCCACAGCAGTCAGATTGTTCAGGTTGGGCTGGGAGTTCTGGATATAACTAGGGCAGAGGCGGAGAGAGGGTGGGAGAAAGAGCAGAATTACCCCATCTCCTCCAGAGAGGCTCTCAGCTCTCCAGAAATGCCATCAATAGCACGACCCTATCCCCAGGGCCGATAAAGGAGACAAGCTGGGGACAGGCAGAAAGAGCACTCAGGATAAGAACACTGCTGAGCCACAGGCCTGGACCTAGGGAAGCACAGGGCTTCTGCAGCATAAGGCCTTACTGGAATGTTTTTTTGTTTTTCTAGCTGACTGCTTTGAAGCAAGGGTAGGGTTCTTGCCTCGTCCCTCTTACGTTTCTGGTGTTACGCTACTCTCTGACACGTGGCCTTGAGAGTTACAGTTTTCTTACTTTTCAGAGAGTATGGTCAGTATTTGGAGAGACAGCCAGGCCAGGAACCCAGTCAGAAGAGAAACTTACCGAACGTGGGAGTTGTAGATGTTAAAGGACAGACAGACAACAGCAAGAACAATGCCCAGGCTGGAGAGAACTGAGACGGAGATAAAGAGTTTCTGTGACAGGAAACGGAATGTCTCGATGACCAAGGTCTGGTCAGCTGGGGGAGACCCTCCTGCATGGCACAGGGGAGGAGGAGAGAAAAAGGAGGAAAGACGTGGCATCAAGGCAGGATAGGAGAAAGTAGCGAAAGACAAGCCGCTGAGGGAAGAAGACTGTGTGGGCTGAAGACATGAGGCCCTCAACACACAGAGGGGCTGAGGTGAGCGGAATGCTAGAGGACACTAGGAACCTAAGGGAACACATAGAAATAAGACAACGGGGTCTGTGCTGAAGAGGAGCTCAGTCTTTGACTGTTCATTCCTTTGGAGGGGGGTTGTTTTGTTTTGGTTTGGTTTTGGTTTTTCGAGACAGGGTTTCTCTGTGTAGCCCTGGCTGTCCTTGGTTTTTTGTTTTTGTTTGTTTGTTTGGGTTTTTTTTTGTTGTTGTTTTTTGGAGTTTTTGTTTGGTGGTTTTGGTTTTGGTTTTGGTTTTGGTGTTTTGGTGGTTTTGGTTTTGGTTTTGGTTTTGGTTTTGGTTGTTTTGGTTTTGGTTTTTAGAGACAGTTTCTCCATGTAGCCCTGGCTTTCTCCCTGTCTCCTGAGTGCTGGGATTAAAGGTGTGTGAGCCATCACAGCCAACTTTTATGGCTTGTTCTTGTTTCTCTGCCTTACAGCAAAGGAAAATAAGAGATGAACGAAGGGGACAGATGAAATAACCCTATAAGTCCATTAGTCACTCCTCACAAAGGTGTAAAAGACAATTACAGAAGCAGAAAGCCAGAAGAGCCTCCAAGGATTCAGCATGGTCTTCTAGCCTCCAGCAAAAGATAGAAGAACAGTTCTAGCAGGGATGTGTTCCCCCAAAACTGCTTTCCAGTTACTCTTAAGAGGAAGCTCAAATCTGTAATGCGGGGTGGGGGTGGGGGAGCCTCAAAACACCTACTTAATTTCAATTTGCTCAGCTTTTAAAAAAAATTAAAGAGCCAATTCAATTTAGGCCATGCGGTGTCTATAACTGTACAGAACACTGACCTAAATTCAAGCTACAAAAATAAATAAATAATAAAAAAAATATGAGGTAAAGCCTAGACATGTTAACTCATACAGTAATGGAGATAGTGCTCGGGCGGCTAGGGCAAGATTGACTTAACTTTGGGGTCAGTTTGGTCTACGAAGTAAGGATCTGTCTCAAACTGGGTTAGGGGAGATGGCTCACCAATTCACACTGTTCTTCTTGAGGACCTGAGTTCAGTTCCCAGCACCCACGTACATGGTAGGTCACAACCATCTGTAATTCTCGTTCCAGAGATTCTGGTGCCCATTTCTGGCCTCAGAGGGCACCAGGCACACACATGGTATGCACATATATGCAGGCAAAACACTTATTGACACATTAAAATTAATTAAATCTATAAAGCCGGGTCAGAAAGATAGTTCAGTGGGTAAAAGCAATTGTTATGCAAGCCTGGCAATCTTAAGTTGGAGCTGAAGAACCAAGTAAAGACGGGAAGGAGAGGACCAACTTCACAAAGCTAACCTCCACAGGAACACCACAGCCACACAGCATGAATGTACACACACACTAACTTTTCCAGCAGTACTGGTAATGATGAGATTTCACTGGGCAAGTCTCCCTTCAATGGCCTTTCCATCAATAGGAACTGCTTTTTTCACTTGGGAGGCAGAGGCAGGCAGATTTCTGAGTTCGAGGCCAGCCTGGTCTACAGAATGAGTTCCAGGACAGCCAGGGCTACACAGAGAAACTGTCTCGGGAAAAAAAAAAAAAAGGAACTTCTTTTTTGCCCACCTCCAGTATCTTTCCCATCTCCTGTCATTTAGCACATCAAAAATAACAGCTTTCTTTCCCTCTTGAAAAAGTGCATGGTAAGGCTAGAAAGATAGATGGCTCAGGGGTTAAGAGCACTGGATGCTCTTCCAGAGGTCCCAAGTTCAATTCCCAGCAACCGCATGATGGCTTATAACCCATCTATTATGGGATCTGGTGCCTTCTTCTGGCATGCACCATATATTCACACAGAACAGACAGAACAGTCATAGATAGATAGATAGATAGATATTTAAAAAGTGCATGGTAGGCCAGGTGCACTCATTCACCTTTAATCCCAGCATTTAGAAGGAAGGGAGAGGTAGTTGGATCTCTGTGAGTTGGAGGCCAGCCTAGTCTACATCACAAATTCTGGGACAGTCAGAGGTACATAGTGAAACTCTAAAAACAAACACCCTGCCAGGTAAGTCAGGCATGATAGTATATACCTGAAATCACAACACTTGAAATGCTGAGGCAGGAAGAGCATCCTGACTTCAAGATGAGCCTGGGCTACAAGTGAGTTCAAGCCCTGGTTCAAAAAGGCGGAAAAAACAAAAAACAAAAAACAAAAACCCAAAAACCAAAACCAAAAGCTGGAGAGATGACACAGGGCATAAAGTTTCTTGCTACCAAGCCTGATGATCTGAGTTCAATTTCTAGGACCCACACAGTGGTAGGAGAGGCCTCTTATGAGTTGTCCTCTGACCCCCACTTGTACATAAACGAATGCATAAAATGTGAGGGGAAAACAAAACAAAAAAGGACAAAAGAGCCAATAAAAACAGCAAAGCTGAGCAAGTACTTTCTGGAGAGAGACTGGAAGACCCTGGTTCTAGCCTATCAAGGCTGGATGACAGCTTCGACTTCTCTTGGCCTCTGTTGCCTTTAATTCTCACCCACTGAAGCAGAGCACTATTAAAAAACAGGGCCTGATCCAACCCCTGGCCTGATCCAGCTTCACACCAACTCACCTCTCCTCTCTTCTTGGGGGCTATGTTCACTCCCAATCCCTGCCCTGACCCACCTTCCATTTCAACCCAAAAGCACCATCCCTCATTCAGATGTATATGACAATGACTATTCAGAAGCACCAAAGAAGAACTCACCGATCCACTTGTCTGTTTTGGACCAGGAAAGATCATCCTTTGTGCTGTCATAGTAGCCGATTTTCTTGTAGCTGCCGCCTGAGCAAAGGACAGGAGTTGTCCGTAGGTAAGGAGAAGCCATTTTCAAGCTTCCATTACCCTTGAGGGTGCTCCCCGTGGTTGCATATAATAATATTTAATAAGCAAACTCAAGGATGCTGTAAGGAGCCATGTCACCTGGGCAGGCAACCTAAATCCACAGCAACACAAGGTGGTTCCCAAAGCAGCAAGTTTACATGAATAAGTAGTAAGTATATATATATATGAATAAATAAATATGTATGTGCATGTGTATATATGAATAAGTAATATAACCCTTAAGCATGTAAGGCTCTCCACAGAGGAAGACGCCTTGGCACGTCTACCACATATTCTACTGCCTCACACCTCTCCCAGCAGCACGTCTCTCACTTCCAAAGCTTTAAACAATTTCTGCCTGTTCTCCTGCTTATGATGGACAGAATTGCAGGCTCCATGGCTTTAATTTTAGAACCCTCTCTCCCTTTGGCTTGGGTTCTAATGCCTTGGAGAAGATACAGCTGCCTCTTCAAGTGCCAGTCAGAAAAACGCAGTCACTCCTAAGATGTCTCTTTGCAGAATGGCCACAGTTAATACAACCTTCCTTCCAAACACCGACTCACACCCACTTCACCCTGGCTGAAGTCCAGCCTCACTTGTCCCATATACAGAGAGAGCTAAGAGGATTTGGTGCCAGAGGTGGGAGGTGGAGGGGTGGGGAGGACTTTTCACAGAGGCTAAGAAATGGGTCTCTTGGCCACACCACAAGAGGCTAAGTCAGGTGGAACTGAAGATTAACTCACAGAAGCTCTGTAGACTCCTCAGAACTAAGTTACAGGGAATGCTATCTAGAAAAGGCCAGCTAGTTGTATGACTGGAATGCTGTTCTCACATAGCAAAGAACTGAGTGGATTCCTTTTTAAAAGAAGCCAGCTTCCCAGAGCCAGCTTCCCTTGATCTTTCAGGACACACTGACAGCTCTTCACCTCTCAACCCAGCCTCAGGCAGGCAACTTCTGGGACTAAAACTGAAACCACTGGGAAGAAAGAACAGCTGTTTTTAACCTGCATGCCCCTTTGAAAGAACAGAATCACTGAAAAAAAGGCCTGTCCATGTTCTTTTTATCATTATTCAAAAGTCTGACAAACACGATGCAAGGTAGGCAAAATGTACCGGGCAATCTTGTTGAGGCTCGTCACTGTTTTTCCAAGGGTGCACTCAGCCCAGCCCCTGCCAGCCCCTTGCCTGCCCCTCCTTCAGCCCTCTCAGACCCCAGCTCACCCTGAAGCTGCTCGATTAGAGTCCATGCCATCCGGGAGCCACTGGCATCAAAGACCACATGGCCCTGAGGAGAAAGATGTGGAGGAAGGCAGAGGGGATAAAAGCAGGAAAAAAAGAGAACATCAGGGACTCCGAAACCTTCTGTTTTTTGATGTAATTGAGCTTCTGAATGAAGGCTATTTATAGCATCTGCTGCATGTAGGACACACCCCAGATGCACATACCCTAGATTCTCGAGACAGTATTCTTTGGAGAAGAAGCTTCACCCTTAAGATCTGAATCAGAGAGTCCCCAGAAAGAGGATCAGGAGCAATTGCCAAACCCTATTGGGCACTAATTTCCTTACTTTAAAAGGAAGGAGGAGATGAACTCTCAAGTTGTTATCTCTTTTTAAAACAGTATACTTCTCATCTAACCTGTAAACCACCCTGACCAGCTTGAAAAGCACTAGAATACAACAGTTCTTTGTACTGCCATATTTTGTATGGCTTTCTGGTTTGGTGTGGGGGGGGTCCCTCCTCCCTAGTCTAAGACTGCTTTACTGACTCTTACAGAAAAATAACTGAGAAAATCCATGTATCTAGGGACCCTCCAAGCATTTCCCTTTTCATAGGGTGCACAACAAAAGCTGCTGTAACTCACAGAAACACCCTCAAAGGAAGAGGAGTTCATGGCCCGGTAGATTTGGTCTGTAATGGTCTGGTTGTTGTAGTTAAAGTCCTCCAGCCGCACGCCAGAATGGCCACCTCCTCCGGAGGTCTTGTTCAAGGCCAAAGCCAAGGCCCAGATAGCATCATAGGCCAGTGGTGCCTCTTGGAAGCCTCCAGTCTCCTCAGGGTGTCTTTTCAGCCGCTTGGTTAGCTTCTCCACAAATTCCTGTGATGTCTGGAGGGAAGAACAAGAGGAGAGAGCATTGAAATGTGCGTGGGCGCAGGGGGAGAGGCCTCAGTTCTGGCTCAGACACTGTGACTCGAGCGGATGGTTTGTGTTCGTGTTGTGGGGTAGGACCATATGTACAGACAAAATCGTTAGCTATACCCATGTGTCTATCTTGGGTTGGAAGCTACAAGACTAAAAGCGGGGATTAACTGAGTCCAATGGTCTTAAGAGTGTACAGCTGCTATCTCAGAACTACAAACAACAGAGAAATCTGATGAATAAACACTCTGGGAAATGAATGGCAAATGAGCGAAGCAAAGACACAGCCAAAGAAGAGATGGATATTGCAGTGAAGAGTGGCAGCTGGCGTTCTCCCAACCCTCAGGCTCTTACAGCAGAGGTGACCCAGGAGCTAACAACTCCTCCAATTTTGAAAGATCCAGAAAAGGCGACACCACAGCCTTTTGCACTCTGTCTGCCAACCAGGAAGATCACTCTTCAGGGAGCTAACTTCTCGCTAGTCTGGTATGACTTCTGTTGGCTGCCTCCTTGGACTGGTGACAGCCACAGGAAGCAGCCTTCACACTGCAGAGGTCCAGATTCAGTTATATTCATACCCCTTCTTGCATTCAATCTTTCTTCCAAGAAATCTAAGAAGAATGGCAATCCCTTTAACTTTCATGGATGAAGAGACCTGGCCGTATAGCTTATGATAGCTCTGCTTGGCTTTCCTTACTCATGGGTGAATGAATTTCTGAACCTCTCAGAATTGCCTTCCACATAACAGACAGAGCATCACATCTTCCCTTCCTGACCATGTAGAAAAACATTTAAATTTTTCTTGGCGGAACACGTGTACGACACAGAATCACTGCACAGATAATTGTTTGGGTTTAGAACATTCACAAGTACACTCCAGCGAAGAAGGATGCTACATGAATGAAGAATCCTTGTTTCTGGTCAGTGAGATGATTCAGCATGTAAAGGCACCTACTTTTTTTTTTTTGGTTTGGTTTTTCGAGACAGGGTTTCTCTGTGTAGCCCTGGCTGTCCTGGAACTCACTCTGTAGACCAGGCTAGCCTCTAACTCTCGAACTCAGAAATCCGCCTGCCTCTGCCTCCCAAGTGCTGGGATTAAAGGCGTGCACCACCACCGCCTGGCTAAAGGCACCTACTTACTGCCAAGCCTGAGTTGGATTTCTGATACACACATAATGGAGGGAGAGAACCAACACCGAAGGTTAACTTCTGACCTTCACTTGTGCACCTGGGTATGGACACATTCATAAAATAAATGGATAAAATGAAATTTTAAATTTTTTTAAAACCTTGTTCCCATGCCCTAAAGACATTTACTTTTCTATCCAGTTTTCTAGAAATAGCCCTGAGCCTTGAAACACAAAGGTCAGGGCTCAACTATGCTAAGACAGGAATAAGCTCCATTCCTCTCCTGGGGACTGGAACCTTGCATTGAACAAAGCTCACAGCAGACACACTATAAATGCCCCTGGAACTCTGTGTACTTCACATGACACTGTAAAGGTAAAACACATGTCATATGTACCCACGGAATACAAAACTCCAATAGCTGGCACTGATACATGCCATGGGCTTTGGGTAACAATAGATGGTTGATGAAGACCACCAATTTTCACTAGTATACTTATGTGGTGGTGTAACCTGATAATGGAGAAGTTGTATATGGGGAATTATGGGAACTCTGGGCCTTCCTTTCAATTTTGCTGTGAACCTAAAACAATAACATCTCTAAGTAAAAAGAAAGTCCACTGGATGGATAAGTAGATGAATGGGTTCTAACTCTAATCAAACTGCTTACCTACTAAGAAATCTCAAGCAAGTTATTAAATCTCACTAAACTGACTATTCAGCTTGAAAATGGGAATAATACCACGTTAAAGACCTCCAGCAAGGATTAAGTAAGAACACATAAAATGAAGTATATGAAGTACATTACACTCTCTCTGTGTGCATTTCCCTGGTTGCACCCTCATCTTTGTTCCCAATGCTCAGGCCTGTAATTCTGGCCCCAGACCTTACATCTTGTAGGTCCCATTTACTCACATTGTTGCTATATATGGCCACCGATCTCAAATCCATAGGAAGAACAGTGGCAGCATAACCAAGCTGCTTATGAGGCTAAAGGGTTTGGGGGGGGTGGGTGGGAGGGGAGGAGAATGAGTCTGTAAGTTCAAGATCAACCTGGGCAACACAGTAAGACCGACTTCAGAGAGAAGGGTCAGGGTGGGGGTGTCCATAATGGTGCACACCTATAATCTCAAACCCCGAAGGCAGACAAAAACAATAAGATTTCAAATTCGAGACAATTCTGGTGTACACAACTCAGTTCAAGGCTAACCAAAGCCACATAGTAAGACTCTCATCTTAAAAAAAAAAAAAAAGAAAGGCAGGTGGACTGGAGATGGGTCAATGGTCCAGAGTGCAGAAGATATTGTAAAGAGTTCATGAAACTCCAGATCCATGGGATCTGATATCTCTCACCTCCACTGGTACCTGCATGTACATACTCACACACGTCTAAAAATAATAAAATAAAATGAAAACCAAGACTAAAAAAAAAAACAAAATTTAGCTCACTTTTTTCTCATACACCCAGTATCCAGTGAATCAGACTTGCAAGTAAATTACATATCAAATCAGCAAATCCTCTTAAGCAGTTTGTTCTATGTTTCATTAATGTCACCCCTCTCTATACAGGAGGGAAAAGAGGCTGGTGGTGGTGAAGATGGTGATACCGGGGTGGTGGTGGTAGGAGTCATGGTGACAGCTACATTTATATTGTCCTTCCTTTGTACCGGGCACACAGATCAATGTGTTTGATCCTCAGACATTTCAATGAATGTGCTTTGCTATTGTCTCTATTTCAGAGATGAGGAAACAAAAGACACAGGGTCCTGTAACTAACTGCAGCCTGTAGGGATGCTGGGACTCCAGCCCAGGGTGTCTGGCATCCACTGTTGTGCTTACTGTGCATTTCCCTGAGCTGCTTCTGTGCTGAAAGCTCTCAGACAGCAGCGAGCTAACACTTTCTGGTCAGGCCTTCAGCTTTCAGGTCTAGCCAATCCTCAGTTCAAAGTAAAGATTACATCAGAAAATCACCATATTGGGAAGGGATTAATCTGCTCAGCATGATATTATCCTCAGATTCTCAGCTCACTCAGGACAGTACAGCTAGCCAAGACAGTACCACTGAAAATCATGAAAAACCACTCTTCCCCTTTGAGTCAGCAAAGATTATGGTTATATTTTTTTTCTTTCTTCCTTCCTTCCTTTCTTTCTTTGTTGAGGAGGTAGAGTGGGGTATGTATGATCTCAGGCCCTCCATTTCCTCAGACATGGTACCTAAGATCCTCTTCTGAACCAGGGTTTCTCAATTCCTATGCTGTTGAACTGCTTAATCGGGGAAGTCTTATTGCTAGGGTTTGAACTGTGTTCATCGCAGGATATTTAGAGGCCCCCTTATCCTCACCCTCCAGACATTGCAACCTCTGTTGAACACCACTTCCCTATAGTTCTCATAGGAAATCAGATCAGCAGCATCAGAAACTTCAGGAATTTGCCAGAAATTTCAGGAGTTTCCCAGAAAACCCTCAGGTCCCACACTTCAGATGCAGGGAACTCCAGGGAAAGGGTTCAGTAACCTCCACACTAACCTAATTTTCCAGGTAGCTCTGATGGGAGTTTGGGAACTGATCCAGGTGCACCTGAAGGCCACCCTGCTGGGATGAATGCAACTCTACCATTTCTCCATGTCTCTATGGTTCTGCTCATTTCACCCTTCAGTCCGACTCTTGCTCTGATCCACTTCTTTTGGTGCCACCTATATATAATCTCCCCCTGTCACCTGAAAAGGCTGCTTCTTCACTATTGAAAAAAAAAAAATCTAGGGTTTTCCACCTGACATTTTCAGGGTCTTTCTCAAGAAAGGGGTCTCAAGAAGGCCTTCAGCTTTCTTGAGAAAAGATCACCTTTTAAAATATATGTAAACAAGAAGATACATTCTCTGAAAACCAAAAGCCAGAAAAGACAATCCTACCCCAAGGCCCAAGTATCCAGCGACATCCCCCCAACTCTAAGCTCTTATCTATTCCTTCTCTCTCTCTCTCTCCCCCAGTGTGAGACAGAGTCCATCAGTGACAAGTTCTAGGCTTTGGACACTAATAAGCCTTTCTGATTTTGGTAGCCTATTCCACCGCCTTGGTGTCTAGAAAATGACTGCTTTCATGTCCTGTGCAGGGGAGTGGCTGTCCAGTGTTTCTTCACTGTCATTTTTAATTGAGATAAATTAAGCGTAACTTCCTGCTAGATGTTATGATGTCAGAACACAGTTTATAACCAGAATCCACATGGCGGCCCACCTTTTTACCCCAACCTACAGCCAGAAGCAGATTCCCAAATCTCATTTCTCCTTTGATAAAACTCCATCATTATCTGAATAGTATTTGCACATGAAGGTATAAAGATTTTGGTCAGGCATTGTACTTTGCCATGGGAATTGTCACGGAAGAGCAGGTTGGAGTTCAATTCCACAAGGCATGAGGAGATACAAGACCCAGGACAAGTCATTAAACCTTCCTGGTTCCAAGAAACCTTCCTGGTTTCTAGCTCATAAGATGTAAATTAACAAATCTGTTTTAGAGTACTGCTATTAAAATCCTGAAATTAAACACCAAATATCCTGATATTCCTCATAAAAATCAGCCATTATTAAAACCATCACTAGTTCACCCCTCTCTGAAAACTGGTATTTCACAGCCGGAGTTACATCAGGTACACAAGTGACCCTCCTGAACTATGGAGATCCCTGCACTGTGGGGTGGGGTGCTGTGCAGCAAAGGTCTCTTCCCCACATATCTATATCCATGTTCACTCATCACCCCCTACACAGGGCTACCCTGGTCCTCTAAATCAAGACAGTGACAGTGTGCCTTCAAAGTGCCTATCACTAGAAAACAATCCGGGGCTGAAGAATTTCGGAAGTTTGTGAACATCCAAAATTAAAAAAAAAAAAAAAAAGCAAATTACCAAAAACGAATTTTACATGGATACAAAGTGAATATGAAATCCAGGCATGCTAGCATATGCCTTTAATATCAGCACTAGGGAGGTAGAGGCAGAAGGATTTCTGTCAGTTTGACGTAAGCCTGGTCTACATGGCTAGTTCCAGGATCTCCAGAGGTACATAGAGAAACTCTATTTCCAAAAAACAGAACAAAAAAACAAAACAACAACAACAAACAAAAAACAAAGAAAAAAAAACCCAAGGGAATATTAAGCAATCCTCTGAGGTACTAACATAAGTCAGACACATACAAACAATAATAATAACAACAATAATAATAGCAATAAATAAGAACACATACAGTGCCCAAGGGAAGCTCTCTGGGAAAAGTGTGCTTTGCGTACAAGACTATATTACCATTAATGCCTCTCTCCCTCACTTGACTTCTCACCAACTGCTCCTTGTTTCCATGGTAACAGCCCTTCCGCTCATCACAAGCCTACTGTATGCTCCACAGTTTTTCTCTCTCGCCCAAAGAAATCAAGCACAGGTAGAACCCAGGAAACACGACGCAAACAAGCACAAGATGGATACGGACCCCTTCCCATCCCCTGACTCCCCTGCTATGCTCAATCCTCCCCCCCACTCTTCCCTCCCCTTCTTTGATGCTCCCTCACCATGTTGGAAATGCTTCGGGTGTTGGCAGGGTTCAGCATGACAATCTCCGTGGTGATGTGGCCCTCCACCGCCTCAGTCATCTCTTCCACTGTACAATTGATTGACGGGTCATAGGTCTTGAACCAGTTGTCAGCATACCACCCAATGAGGAACCAGACGTACTTCTTCCCAAAGAGCCGTTCCTTATAGACCTGCATTCAAAGTAGGGAGGGAAGCATTGGAGGTTTGCTCTTGTTCTGGAGGAAGTAGTGTCATCCCACTAGATACTGTTTAGCTTTTCCAGAATCAAAGAGCAGGAATTTTTTTTTTAATCATCACTAAAATCCACTATTTTGTATGCGTATATCTTCAAATCATAGGAAAGTCTCAACAAAATGCCTCCTCTGGCCACTCAGAAAAGACAGGGTCAAAACACAAAGCAATAAAATGAGAACGTGTGTGTATGTGCGTGTATGTCTGAATGTAGATGAATAAGGAGTCAGGGCCTACAGACAGGCCTGGTATTCATTATCACCTCAGGTCATTTGCTATCAATTTGAGCAGAGACGCAGTGAGGAGGACCCAGGAGAAAAACCACAGTAGAGAGCCCATCCAGCCCCTCCCTGGTCCAGATTCTATCTCCACCTCACAAAAAACTTTCCGGGCTTCGGTCTCATAGAAAAGTCCCACGATGATTCGAGCATCTTGACGCTATAAAACAGGAACAGAAACAGAGCTCCTGAGGGATGCTAAAAGCGCCTGAGGGGTTAAGCCAGTGCTTTCTAAGCGTTGATTTCCCAGCTCCAAGTGCTCAGTGCAAAGGAATGTTCAGTGAATGGGCAGTGGATAAATGTCAACTGGAAGACAGAACTAAACCTTCCCAGGAGACTGAGCTGTCTCATAGAATTAACAACTGCCTCTTCCAGGTTTTCTTCTCCAACCAACCACCACCCACATTAACCCCACGGCAGGCTGAGCCCACCATCTCTGCTCTCCCACCTTTAGGTTTTTAACAGGCACAGCTGGATCTGAGAAGAAACTCTGTCGGAAAGTAATCTCAATCCCGGCCTCTTTCACTCGCTCTTCCAGGTCATCCAATGTCTTAGGTGGGGTTAAGAAAAATCAAGAGTAAAGCAGAGTTTACAAGAAAGAACCGACCAAATACTCACAGCAAAGGAGTAGGATCTGAACCTTATTCCAAGAGCCCCTGAACCCCATGAGGCAGCTTCTGAAATGCCATGATGAGCCCCTCCTCAGGATCTGTATCCAGGGATACTGCCCCATCTACCCCACTCTGGACATTGAGAAGAAAACAAAGGAAACAGAAAAAAAGCAGGGCAGGGTCTGGAATACACAGAATGGTGCCAACTCAAGAGGCAAGTGGGCAGACAGTCAAAAGGATCACAGAAAAATGGACTGACTCACTGAGGAAAAGTGGGAAGGGAAAATTAAAGGGCCACTGAAAATAATGAAGACTCAAAGAATAGAAATAAAGAGAAGAATCAGGCTACTTTCTCCAGTGTGGAGCCTGGCCATTTCCTCTCTGCCTCTGCAAACCTCCCTGTCCTTCAAACTGTCTGTAAGCATCTCTCTGGTCAACTACCAAACCCACCACACACATGTCACTTGTCTCTTATCTGTCCACCCACTCCTTCACCCTCTTCTTTTCCACTCCACCCAGTAGCTCCACACTCAGCTGCCAATCACCCTCTACCCCTGAATGCACTGGAACCCACTACTTTCATAGGACCCTACTTTTTACCCCCTCTTGTTTCAACTTGTAATTAAACCTACTTTCATAGAACAGAGTCCTATCTGTCTGGGGAACAACAAATCGAAACAGTGGAGAGGATTCCAAAAATCCAATTTGCGTGTTCCCAGGCGACAGAAAGAACAAGCACTTCGCCCACTTGGAATGTGTTCTCTTTTGATAAACCAAGTCCTCCCCGAAAGAGCAGATGCTCCTGGGACCTCATGTCCCACCCCTTATCTGGACTCACTGAGGTGAAGACCTCCGTGGTCTGCTGGATGGTGGCAATCTTCTTCCAGCCCCACTTTTCGAAGAGTTTCACCCGAGTGGGATTGTGGAGTGTAGCGGATGGATGTGTCCGGAAGAACGTTGGAAACCGCTGTCGGTTTGACAAGGCTGGTGAGCTGGAGCCATATGAGAGCTGAGGCAGAAGAATGGCAGTGTCTTTAGGTACTCCTTGGTCCTGATTTTTCTCTCCCAACTCTCCAAACTTCCCCACCTTTGTCCTGGGAAAAGTGATTTTCAAGAGCAAGCAAGCAAGTGCACACACACACACACACACACACACACACACACACACACACATCTGTGGATCCCCATAGCCCTTCATGCAATTCTACCAGAAAGCCAAACAGCTCAGGCCCTCAGTAGGCTGAGTCCTGGCAGAGATCCCTCTCCCCCTCTCCCTAGTCCTCTCTCTGGAACCTAACCTCAATCGGACTACTTAACCAAGCCCAAAAAGAAGTGACCCCCCTGCCTTGCATACCACAATAAGGTTCCACATCCGGGCAGCCTCAGCTACAAGTGTGGAGACGGAACTGCAGCCAGGCATGAGGATGATCTTGATGGGGTCATTGTAGAGTAGTTCGTACAAGTACTTGGTGGCTTGCCCTGGGTCACACTGAGGGAGGAAGGAGGAAATGAAGGCTGGCTCCCAAGACCCCCACCTCACATATACACACACATCTGGAATTGCCTACTGTCTTGGACAACCTAGTGCCCTTCCTTAATCACTTCCAGCACTACATTCTTCTTCCTGAATCTCTTCCTGTCGAGTTTCCTCTAGTTTCACCTCTTTCCTTAAGCTCCCTTCTCCTGTCTTCCATCTGGCACCTTGGCCCTACTCACAACTGCATGCTCTTCCGTCCATATCAACACATACTCTACTGTCCTCCACTTCTGATTATTCTTAATTAACCCTAAGTCCACTCTCTTCGTTCAACTCTGCACACACACACACACACACACACACACGTATTCCATGTTTATAGGGTCTGAAACATCTGCCCAGAAAAGTCTGCAGGAATACAAATACATTCTCTGCAGATCACCAGACAGCTCCCTCAATAAAATTTCCACCTTCGATTTCAGAGAACAAGATCAGTAGGGTGTCTGCTCAGCACCCTATCCTTTCCTGCTGGGCTCTGACATTTGACAAGTCCATTAGAGAAACAGGGGAGGGGGAAGTACAGAAGAATCTAAAATGAGGGAGATCCAGATAAATAGAGTGGAATTCTCCACAAGCCAGACGATATGAGAGGTGCCTGAAAGAGATGAAACAGGAAAGCTTAGAGAGGGAAAGAATAGTAGGAAGGAAAATTGGGGGAGGAAGGGCCAGCCGTGGGTCCCCTACTGTCTGTTCCCCTCCTGCTGAAGCATGACATTTCAGAAGCTGCTGGAGCCCCCAAAAGAAGCGGAGAAGAAATGACAGCCAGTGGGGAGTCAGAGCAAAGGGAACAGAGACTGAAGGCACAAGGGACTGGAGAGAGTGAACTTGGTGGAGGGGGTTAGAAAGAAAATAAAGAAGGTATCTGGAGTCTGCTTGCTCCCCACTGAGGCGTGACATTTGAGACACTGTGGGAAGTTGGAGACAAGAAGCCCAGGGAGGCAGGGGGAGCTGGCAAATCTGAGCACCCAAAAAAAAAAAAAAAAAATACTCTGAACACTGCTGCCTGCTCTGTTTTCCACCCTGTCAAGGGCAGGGCTCACCCATAAGTTTGGAACATGCCTCCTACTTAGCATCTTTATTTATTTATTTATTTATTTTTAACCATTACTGCGTCCTTCCTGACTTAGAACAGATGCTGACCCCAGCTTCTTCTAAGTCCTGAAAGTGTCTTTTGACTGTTTGAAGAAAAGATTTCACAGGAACAATGATACCCAGAAACTTACAGTTACATAAAACAGGGCCTGTGTGGCCTAATGTGTGTACCATCTCCTGTTTCATTTCCTTTCTACCTGTGCTTATAAAAACCCCACACACAACCATTTATCCCAACCCATGAAGTCCTCCCTTAACACCGACCAAAGATCGAGACCTACGATGCACCGTATCCTCTCCTTCACGTCTACCTTCTTCTAGTGTTCCCCCCACCTCATTTGCTCCCCAACACCTCTAGGGAATCACTTGTCATGAGGGAAGAATTTGATCTTTTCCTATCTTCCTCTCACAATGACTTATGTTGCTCTATAGCCAGATCAAGACCCTCTCTCTTCTTCCTTTCTCCCTACCCTCACATCTAATTTTTTTTTTCTTGTGCTCTGCCTCTCTTCTCACAGGCAACCTGGAGTAAGTTGCATGCACCCATATCCTTAGGCAGGATTTCTGTGGATGAAAACAAAGATACTACTTAGGATTCCTTCCTGACTAAGAAGTGCAAACTAGTATTTTAAACAAATGGTGTGTTTGTTTAGTGATGTTTGGGACCCACAGATAAGGCACCAAAAAAAAAAAAAAATCCAAGAGAATTTAAGTTTCTTTTTTTTCTCCAAGCCCCTTCCCCTAGCATTCTGCCAGTGGGCTCATTTCTGCCCCATTTGGAGGCACACACCTATTTTTAGGTGTACACCAATGTTCCACACACCCCAAGAATAAAATGGCCAAATCTCCCACCTGTACAGTTTTCCTAATCTCAAATCTTTGGAGCCACAAGTCAGAAAGGACCAAAACTTCTGTCATGTCACTTCCCACATAGGAAGAGACTTGGTAAAGAAATCATATCATAGACTATCCTCTAACCCCAAAATTTCTTCACCACAACCAACCTTCCCCTCTTCCCAAAACTACATCCACTAGGCAATATTAAAACCAAACGCTAAAATCAGGACCTCCCTCCCCTCAGTTCCACAGGAGGCCCAGGGTTCTGACTGTCCCAACCCTCCTCCCTACCCGATCTCTGATCTCCCTGTACACTGACTCTCCATCCCCAGTCCTGTTTAAGGGGTTCCTTACGGACCCCAATACTCTCTCCCAGTGCTTCAGCCCACCCCTTAACCATTATTAGTCGTTTCCAGAGCTGTAGGCCACATTCTCTAAAAGGTATCCCTAAAAGGAATCCCCTAAAAGGTAGAGATGAAGAGTCAGGCAGCCTTACCTTGCTATTTGTTTTGATAGATAAAGTAGAACCCTCTTGTCTCTCTAAATCCTCCCCCTTCTTTCCATATTCCTTTCAGCCCCAACCTACGCCAAGATTTACCTTGTTACCATGGCAAATGTAAACCCCTGAGCCAGCTGCCCACCTCTGATGTTCTTTCCAGCCCCCAACCCTGGCCAGGGATAGCTTACTCCAGAGGATCAGCACCTAAGACCCCCCACCACTTCTGTGATTCTCCTACTGCCTGCAAGAAGAGTCGGCCTTCAGAGCCACTGAGACATCCCAAAGCACCTGCACCTCCAGTGCATCTCCAACCAGTCAGCCTCGGGAGGGGTCTGCTTCGCAATCCCAAAGAGGATTCACAGCTCTCGCCTCCCACTACCCCAGCCACTCTGTCCCTCACCCCGACTACCTTGCTGTCGTGGTGGATAAGCTTGAGCTCGTAGTCCGGCAGGATGTCTCTGCGGCTGTTAACGTCCTCCAGCGCCATCTCCACCGCGGGCTGGCAGGCCTGGCCCCCCGGCCAGCCCCCGCTCATGGGAAACAGCGCCCCGATGTATACTGCACGCCGTTCTGAGGAGGGGTGCGGGGGGACCCTCGGGTGAGGCCGCGGGAGATGAGGGGAGTGAGAGGCCCATACCGGAGCCACCCCAGCCGCCATCACCAGCAGAAGAGGCAGCGGCCACCCCACCGGGGTACAGGGTCCCCCCGGGCCCATGGCGAGGAGGGGCGGGGGCGGCCTCCTTGGGATGGGGGCAGCTCAGGGGGGACACTTCTTCTGGGGAAGGCTTCTGGGAGGGCGTCGGGGAGGCGCCTCCATCCCCGGTCTCATTGGGGAGGAGGGGCCAGAGCCCGGGGAAGGCAGGGACGTGGGCTTTCTAGGGCCAGGAGACGTTCGCTCCCGCCACCGTGGACTCTCCTCGCCGACTGACCGACCGACAGAAGGGAGGGAGAAAAGGAGCTAGGAGGGGGGCCTTGACGTCACGGGCTGGGGGGCGGGGATAGGAGCCAGTGCCGAGGCCCGGAGGGGAGGGGAGAAGAGAGAGCGCGCAAGGAAGGGAGGGGTCTCCGCCTAAGGAGACTGGAGGGGAGGATGGGGCACTTGGAAGGCGAGAGGATAAGCACAAAGCAAAGATGGGAAGCGAGGGTGGGTAGGGTAGGAGGGGCCGGTGACAGTTCTGAAAGGGGAATATGGGGAAAGGGTAGGAAGAGCCAGAAGGATGGGCAAGGCTTTGCAGAAAGATACGGGTTGAGAAAGGGATAACTGGTTTGGAGAAGTAAGGATAGCACGGTTGAGGGAAGGCTTGAAGAAGGGTATTGGGAGAAAGGGTCTACAGAGGATGCGAGACTCGCATGGGTGGGACCGGTGAACAGGGTCGATGGAACCTCGCCGGTAAAACCTAGGTAGGGGTGGCAGGAATAGGTCCCCGAGGTCTGAAGGAACCCCACGAAGGAGAGATCTGGGATCCTCCGGCGCGCGGCTGCCCCCTACCGGGCTTCGCGCTTGGAAGCTGAGTCCGAGAAGAGCGCAACCCGGAGGAACGTGGCCAAGCAGGGGAGTGGGAGGGAGCGCGACCCGCGGAAAACCGCGATTTGTCGGCAAGAAACAGGTAGGAGAGGAGGGCAGAGCCTCAAACTAGAATGGGTGAAGGGGAATGAGTAAGAGGACACCCACAACCTACGCAAAGAAATCCTTCTAGTGGAGGGTGAAGAGTGAGGGGATGGGGGCAGCAGTGCACGCGGGAAGGGTTTCTGATCTCACCTGAGTGTGGCGTTCGATTCACTGGCAGCAGGAAAGACGGGGATCAGAGAAGAGTTACCAGGGGCGCCCAGCTTCCCAGGCCTGATCCCCAGCCCCCTCCCACACCTGTTCATGCGGAGCGGAGACTGCGTTGAGGGAAGGGTGCCTGGGGATAAGAGCGAGGCGGGCTAGGGGTCAGGACTCGTGTTTTCTTCTATTATTCAAAGGACTACAGAATTTGTGCCAGGAAGTAAAGGGGGTGGGAGTGCAGCTGAGTTTTGTAGAGCTTGAATATTATACACATATATAAATCTATGATCTCTATAAGAAAACAAATTACAAAACGATTGGTTTTAAACGAGTGCTCTTTAAATACCTTAATTTAGTAAGTTCTCCAAAAGTTGGTTAGCATACGCACACAGTCTTAAGAGCTCAAATGAAGACTTAGTCAAAATGAAGAACCCTGAAGCTTACTTATTAATTCATTCCAGGAGAGAGTATATATACAACAAGCATTTGGGTGCCCAGAAAAGGGAGACATTTGCAGAAAAGACAGCAAAGAGGCAGGCAAAGGGGTGGCAAACACAAAAGCAGTATTCCCTCAAGGAATGATCAAGGTTGTAAGAAGAATACACAAGATTCATAGTCTTCTTCCATGTGCCCTTGAATTATCACTGTTCTGGACATTTTGCCCCAGTTTCTTTTTTTTTCTTTTTCTTTTTCCATGTTTCCAACCCCAGATCTCACCGACTTTTTCTAAAGGTAATGTATGATTTAATTCTGAATATTTACAACAATTCCATTATAGAGTGAAGAGCAAAGGATCAATTCTAGAAGAGCAATACAGAGGATGTTCTAAGTCTACAGAGAGGGGGTAGTTTTTTTCCAGCGGGGGTGGGGAGGCGAGCATTTTTTTAACTTTTAGAAGCTGAGGGGGGCGGGGCTGAGATTAATGAAGAAAAAAAACCAAAAGGTCCAAGATTTGAAATCTGGAAGAACACACTAAAGGGAAGGAGGGTGGGGGGAAGCCCAACAGAAAGGATTGTGGAACCAAGTCTGAGGCAGGTGAGCGGTGTAAAGACGGGCTTCACCTGCATCTTCCCAAATTCCTCCCCGACATTCTTCATAGCAACCATCCTTTCCCTCTACCCACTCCCACCCCACTCCCATTCTAGGACAAGCACCCTCATCAGCTGCAGGCAGGCAGCTTTTCCCCTCACCCTGGCAGTGGGGCTTGGGGGTGCTCCACTGGCCCTGACTACAGATGCTCCTGGAGCTGCCCACCAGATGGAAGTCGGGGTCACATCGGAAATCCACCCGGGCTCCATCCAGAGCTGGGAGGTCCCCACCCGTCAGGAAAACCTTCCCATTTTCCAGGGTCAAATAAGACTTGGAGCAGATTCGGACTGTGGAGAGATAGGAAAATAAGAAGAAAGGCAAGTTGTAAAGGATCGTTCCCCTAAGGAGTACAGAGAATTAATTAGGTTTGGGTCTGGGTTCACAAGCATCCTGTTCCACAGGACATCAGGTGTGCAATGTCTATGCCTCCCTACCTCCCCGTTCTCCCCAACCTCCCCCCCCCCATTATCCACATTTCTATCAGAAAAAAAAAAATAGCATTTCTATTGTAGGAACCCAAGATGGAGCTACAGGCACACAAATGAGGTACTGCTCACAGCACAGTAAAGTGGGTAGTTCTCTGCCTTTGAAATGTGTGGATGTATGTAAATCTGGACGCATGATTAGGCTTGCTTTGCTTATGGCTGGTCTGTACTACTACTGAATTGGCTAATATGGTCATTGAGTTGGAGACAAAGGTGTCAGAAAACGCAATGAAATCGTTTCATGACTTAAAAAAAATCTCTCACTAATGAACCTCAAAGAATAACTCAGATGAAAAAAAAAATCAAAGTTATTTCTTCCAATGATCGGTATCCTAATGTAGACGATGAAGTGAATGTGCTGGCTGCTTAGCTTGCTTCCTCCCACTAGCTGCTCACAGCAACACCCCTCCTCCTCCATAGTACTCATTCATTAAACGTATTTGTGAATTTGGTTCCATTGGATTTAAATTGCTGACTTGCAAAACAACTAAGGTGGGTCTGCAACTGGGAAAGGAAGGGACTGAAGGAAGGGGGCAGGGGTGGTGGGTGGCTTCCCAGGCTACTCACCACAGCGGCTGGGTGTGTCCATATCCGTCCAGGAGCCGTTGGCCAGGCACTTGCGCACCTTGGGCCCCACCACCTCGCGCTCCCCTCGGCACACATATTCAATCTCATAGTCCACAGGCAGGAAGTTGATGGCCTTCACCTGGTCGCGAGTCAAGCCACGGTATCTGATGCCACCTTCCCAGGGCGGATGTATAATCTGGCAACCTAAGAGGGAATGGGGGAGGCACAGGGGAACCGTGGGAGCGGGAAGGCAACGCCGCAGTGGAAGGGGGAAGAGCAGGGCGTGGTCAATGGTGGGGCTGGGGGACAGAAAAGGAGGGGCACACGAGACACACGACTGGAAGGTGGGAGTGGGAACAGTTAAGAACCCCAAGCTGCAGAACTCAGAATCATGGGTTAGGGCTAAAGCTGGTGCTTACATCACCTTTCCACCAGTTGAGAAGTATAACGGAGAAACATAGCTAAGAAGAAATCATAAGAGCTATAATGTTCGGTGGTTAAAATGAGGGACAGGGCTGAAGGAGAATACTGGTGAGGACCACACAATCTCATTGAACGAGGACCACACAAGCCCATCAAAGCAACAAGGTGGACCACGGAAGGGGGGCGCTATAGTATTATGGGGCCCGGAAAGGGGGGTGGGGCTGAGAAGATAATTCGGGGTCACAAAAAAAAAAAAAAAACCGGTGTAGTGTAGCAACGTGAGACAGAGGAAATGGGTGCTGGTGGTGATGCGGAGTGACAGAAAGGAGGTCAGGAGTAGTGAAGTGGCTGCGGACCAGGATGCCCGGGAGTGGGGGTGGGGGAAGGTCCTGACGCTAGAGTGATGAGAAAAGGAGACGTGCAGGGAAAGGAGCTGTGGGGGTGGAAGAGGTCCGGGGCGCCGGAGATGGGTGCACCTTCCGAGGTGACGTTGGGGGTCTGCGCCCCGCCAGCGCCCAAGGGGCGGAGGAAGAGCGGCACCAGCAGCAGCAGCAGCATCTAAGGAAAAGGCAGCCATGAGGGCACGGAGGAGCCCGCCGGCAGCGGCCTGGGCCAGCCGACGGTCAGGTCTCGCTCCCCACCTCACGGGCACCGACCGCGCGGTTCGGGACGCGGAGGGCGCCCTGCGGAGGAGGCGGGGGCGGAGCCGCACGGGCTGGGGGAGAGGAGGAGAGAGTGCCTGTCCCCACCCTCCTCCGGCCTCCCTTGGCCCCCCACCCTCCCGGGACTCCACCTCTCTCCACCTCCTCTCAGCAGCCCCCATGGCTAGCGCTAGCCCAGCTTACCCACGCTCCAGGGTCCCGCTACCCCATTCACTCGCCGCTCGCAACCGAACCCCCGCATCCCCGGCCCTGCCCTGCGTCCACCGGCCTCCTCACCAAGCCCTGGTCGTGGGGCCCCGCTCTTACCTCGGCGGCCGGTCCCGCTCCGCGGCTCTCCCCGGGCCTCAAGGGCCCAGGCCCGGCCGCGGGTCCCCGTTCTCCCTCCCGGTCCTCCAGCTTCCCCTCCCCTTGTTCTCCTTCCACAAGAATCCAGGCTCTAGCCTGGCCGGGGTCTCTCCCCTTCTCGATCGCTACCCGCAAACCCCACCCCCGTCTCTCCTTCCCCGGGGCGACGGCGGCCGCGAGAGCACGGTGCCGGGAGGGAAGGAGGCGGCGCCGGGGACCGGGGAAGCTATCGGGCGGAGGGAGGAAGGAGGGTGCAGGGGAAGACGGGGCGGGGGGAAGGAAGGGGGGGAGACCAGAGAGGGCGCCTCCCACAACCCGAGCCCCAGGAGCCGCCCCGGATCCTGGCCCCTCCCTAGACCGCCCACGGCGCGGGAGGGCGTAGAGGTAGGATGGGGGGGGGATCAAGCACGCAGGCAGGGACTGAGAGCTGCTGAGAGACCTGCAGCCTAGACTGATGGAGACGGGGGGAGGAGGGCTGCGGGAGGGTTGTGGGGGGGTTATACGACCCAAGCCTAAAGCAGAGGAGCTGGCACAGAGACAGGAGCCTGGATGAAGGTGGAGAAAGGATGTTTGTACAAAGGGAAGGAAGACAGATATGGACCTGGCGAAAGGAGGAAAGAAGATGCCATATGCCTGGAGAATAGACCTTGAAAGGAAGGGAGAAGCAAGGGTCAGAAAGGCAGCCGAGGGTGGAGGGGGTGCCAGGAGAAAAATGAGAGAGCTGGAACTGGGGGCCCAGGGTGGCTCGTTGGTCCAGCAGTAGGCTACTTGCCAGCTTATGGCGGGGAGCAAAAGATCGGGGTGGGGTGGGGGGGGAGCATTAAGAAGAGATATTGAGGTAGATGGAGAAAGGAGAGAACATAAAGAAAGAGAACCTCTACGTGAGCAGGAGCCTGTATTATCCACCAGACCAAATACCTGCAGTTCTTGACTAAGGGTAAACTGAAGGCCCTGGCAGAGAGGTCTGACAGCCAAGGCTCCTGCACTGCAATTGTCCTTAATAATGATGATGGGCCGAAAGAAGAAAAAGGGGTGGGGAGGGCCCTCCTTTGCTGGCTAGTTCTTCCAGACAGGTGGGTGCAAACCAGATATTGTGAGACTTGGGAGAACTGAGGCTCTCAACCTTCAACTCTATGTTAGAGCAAGTATTTGTAATGACTCCTAAACTGCGAACTCATAATCATAGATTACATCACTTCCATACCCACGTGACTTTTAGAGCATACTATTTCCCCATCTATAAGGAGGAGCATAGCAATTTGCTATAACATAAACAGTATTTTAGTGTGAGTGCCGTTTCCCTCAAAGCAGGCAAATGCTTACACCTCTCCATAGAGTCACAGAAACAGAACTTCTACCAACACTCACTGATACAGGTGCACAGCCAGTGACTCAACTACCTCCGTTCCGGCGTGTTGCCATCAATGTAGTGACTTCAGGAAATGTTGAGCAACTCTTGGTAGCAAAGTCAAGCTTCCCTAAACTCACACAGAACTGTAATTGCATTCCTAGAAAGTTAGCTGCATATTCAGACCATTAAAAAAAAAAAACTATTAAGTTCTAGGCTCAGATAATTAAACACAAGTTTTTACCTACATGAATGTCCTAGGGGACTTCTGAAAATCTAGATAAAGAGAGAACTCTATCTAGCAGGAGGACAGCTTTTACACAGGCTCTGGCCATAAGTACACCCCTTCTCACAGCAGTAAATACAAAAAGGAAACCCCACAAACTTTTAAATGTTGCCTGGAAAGAGCCTGAGAATCACTGGACTAAACAATGAACAAAAGAGAGTAGGAAGGATTTCTAACCACTAGAAATGACAGCCACCCTCCTCTGAGTGGCCTGCTGTCTCAATAAGGCCAACTAACGTTATGGATACCAGCAAGGGAAGTTTCCTATATAGTCAAAAAGAAGAGCTACCTGACTCTGTGCTAGGTCTGAAGGATAGTCCTTCTAGCCAAGTGGTACCCTGTGATTCAGCCAAAGCTGAGTTCACAAATCCCTCTCCAAACCCAGCAGGACCCTGCTACAATGGAACATCTGAGCAAGCATGTTCTCTGGGATCACAAACTACTCTCAACATCCTTGTGTGAGCACTCTGATTTGCTCGCCTCCAGAACATTTTGTAGCTACCATTTTCTCCTTTCAGACCTTTTCACTCTCCAGTATAATTTCCAGAGTTCCTTGTCCATGTTCCTCAGGACACCTGTTTAGATCCTTCCTCAAACCACAATGTATCAGCCCTGTTCTTCCCATAGATAATGTATTTAGCAGTAGATACAATGTTGGGGATTAATGTAAGGATGAAAGTAGGGCATCAAGCCCTCTGGTTCCTTCTTTTTCTTCTACAAAATAAATAAATAAATAAACAATAAAATAAAAACATGTAAAAGTTTCTCCTGGAAAGGTTCTTGGGCACAATCTATTCTTCACAGGTGTGCCATTGCAATGCTACCTTCTTTGTGCAGTTTTTGTTTGTTTGTTCATTCTGTTCTGTTCTGTTCTGTTCTGTTCTGTTCTGTTCTGTTCTGTTCTGTTCTGTTCTGTTGTTACCATTTTCCATGGAAATGGAGGAGTTTCTACTCAGATTCCCTATGGAACGGCCAGCCTTCTTGTTCATCTTGTTTCCCATATTCTCCTTCTGATGCCTCTCCCTCATTCTTTCTCTTCCACCCCAGAGGGCACAAAGCTTAATTATCAGAAGCCATGAAAACACAAGACCCGGGGCTGGAGAGATGGCTCAGCAGTTAAGAGCACTAACTGTTCTTCCGGAGGTCCTGAGCTCAATTCACAGCAACCACATGGTGGCTCATAACCATCTGCAATGAGATCCAATGCCCTCTTCTGGTATATCTGAAGAGAGTAACAGTGTACTCATGTAAATAAAATAAATATTAAAAAAAGAAGAAGAAAAAAGGAAGAAAGAAAGAAGGAAAGAAAGGAAGGAAAGGAAGGAAGGAAGGAAGGAAGGAAGGAAGGAAGGAAGGAAGGAAGGAAGGAAAAGAAATAAAACACAAGAACCAAAGTAGCCCAAGTTGTTGATGATCTATAAAATTCTGGGCTCTGAGGATGGATGGCATCTAAAGCTCACACTACCACATGAAGTAAATGGATGTTCACACTCTTATATTCAACTAAACTGCTTTGGAGAAAGTGAGAAGCAAAGCAAGAAGCAATAGCATAGATAGAAGTCAGCAGAGCCAGTATTTGAACTCCAGCTCCTTACTCTGCATCCAAATAACATTTTTTTGTTGTTTTTTTTTGTTTGTTTTTTGTTTTTTCTTTTTTGTTTGTTTTGGTTTTTTTGTTTGCTTGTTTGTTTTTCAAGACAGGGTTTCTCTGTGTAGTTCTGGCTGTCCTGGAACTCACTCTGTAGACCGGGCTGGCCTCAAACTCAGAAATCCACCTGCGTCTGCCTCCCAAGTGCTGGGATTAGAGGCGTGCGCCACCACCCACCGCCCGGCTAATTTTCTTTTTTAAACAGTCTCACTGTGATAGTTTGTATATGCTTGGCCCAGGGAGTAGCAGTATTTGGAGGTGTGGCCTTGTTGAAGTAGGTGTGTCACTGTGGGTGTGGGCCTCAATACCCTTGTCCTAGCTGCCTGGAAGTCAGTCTTCCACTAGCAGCCTTCAGATGAAGATGTAGAACTCTCAGCTCTGCCTGCACCATGCCTGCCTGGATGCTGCCATGCTTCCACCTTGATGATAATGAACTGAACTGGTAAGCTGGTCCCAATTAAATGCTATCCTTTGTAAGACTTGCCTTGGTCATGGTGTCTGTTCACAGCAGTAAAACCCTTACTAAGACACTCACCATGTAGTCTTGGCCAGTTGGAACTTGTAGAATAAAACAGGACAGCCTTTTGCTTGCGGTGATCTTCCAGTCTCCATCTCTTGAAGGCTGGAGTTATAGTTACATACCATTATGTCTAGCCTATATTCAGACTCTTCACATTGCATTTCAAGGTTTAATTTTGCCAAGCATCATAGTACATGCCAATAACCCTAGCACTTGGGAGGATGAGGCTGGAGGACAACTAGTTCAAATCCAGTCTGTGTTATATAGAGTTTGAGGCCAAACTGAACTACAAAAATAAATAACTAGGTTAGAATTTAGTCTTCGTTTTGGGTTTGTTTGTCTGTATGGTTGTGTTTTTATTGCTTTGTTTGAAGTATTGGTTTTTGTTTTAGAGGGAGGGTCTTAAGTATGCAGCCCAGGCTAGTCTTAAACTCTCAAATTTAATGGGTAGCCAAGGATAAGCTTACACTTCTAATCCTCCTGGCTCTGCCTCTTAAGTGTTGGGATTGTAGGCATGTACCACCAACATGAAAACCCTAGCTTGGTCTTGATGTACGTACTCCTTTCCTCCGAAGCTCACTCCCCATAGAATACTCCTTCAAAGACTAGAATTCGGCTCTATCTGTTTTCTTGCTTGACAAAGAGTGGAAAGCATGTGAAGAACAAAGTGAAAGACTTGTCTTCGGGGAGTTTTCTGTTTCATATAAATTGTGTTACTTAAAAATATGTATAGAGCCGGACAGTGGTGGCGCACGCCTCTAATCCCAGCACTTGGGAGGCAGAGGCAGGCGGATTTCTGAGTTCGAGGCCAGCCTGGTCTACCGAG